GCCTCCCCTAATGTCTTCCACGTGAAACACTTGATGGCCAAACCTTAAAGCTCGTTCACTATTTTTCATGGCCTTGTTGGAAGATTTAGATATGGGTGTGCTACCACTTATGGAATATATCACATTCACCTAGCGTTGGTTACGGTTACCCCTTGAAGGGTGAATGAGGAATTGATCAATTTTTCCTTCACGTGCCAAAGCTTCAATATGATTGTGAAAGGTGATACACTTATCACCGTCATAGCAGTTATGCTCGTGGTAGCAGCAAAACGTGCCCGTGCTCTTCGTAGGCTTGTAATCCGGGTGCCTTGGCTTTGGCTTCGGTATCAGGTGTGCTATGCTGGGGTAAATGGCCATGCATGTGGCGTTCAAAGGTGTGTATGCCTCATACCTCGGGGTAGGGGTTGTCCTGACACGTGCTTGACCCACTGTGTTGACTGCCTGGGGTCAGGGATTATCATGGTGATACCCTTGGTTATCGCGGTAGTGTCCCTTACTCCTTTTACTAAAATGAGACTGGTGAGGATGGAAATCTTTCCTTTTTCCTTAAGATTGATATGTCTGTTGACTTGGCAAAGTATTAAGTAAGGCAGGGGAAGGCACTGCTGTTGTTTGGAAGGTCGAGGTCTTCTCATTTGGTTGGATCTGGTTTCCACTCCCTACTTGCTGATAAAGGGGTGTTTGTGGGGGGTTTTCCTTGATATGTCATTGCCTCGGTGGAGGCATGGTTGTAAGCTTGTGCCATTACCTCAGATTAAGTCTTCCAAGTGTTGGTATTGATCATGTACTTGAAGAAACAATCACGTAGGCCTGCCGTGAAGGCCTTGAGGGCAGTCTTGTCATTTGCCTTAGCGCATCGAGAATACTCATGGCTGAAACGACCGGCATACTCTTGTAGTGACTCGTCCGACTTTTGGCGAATAGTGTACAAGTCATCTGCAGAATGCAAGCGATCAATCTGGAATATGTGTTGAGAGATAAACAATTTCCTCAGTTTCTCAAATGCGTCTACTGTCTCAGGTAGAAGACGGTAATACCAGTTTAGAGCTCCGCCAGAGAGGGTGAAGGGGAAGGGAAGACATCGCTCTTCGTCGGTGTGCATCCGATATGCCATGGTGGACTCAAAGAGGTTAAGGTGTTCAATTGGGTCTTCCCTTCCAGTATAGAGTTGTAAACCAAGCTTTTGTTTTGTCTTTGCTTGAAGGGGGTGTCGAGGATCCTCCTTGTGAGAGGGCCAGGCCTGGGTTGGTTCCAGTCAGGTATCTCGGCTTGACGTTCGGCATTCAACTTGTTTACTTCCTCAAAGAACTGTAGGATAAAGGGGTCCTGAGTGGAGTCATGTACCACTGAGATTTTCTTTCCTAAGTTTTCATCGCCTCTTGGAGGTAGGAAAGTTTGAGCAAAGGCGTGTGATTTTTCCTTGGACTCGCCATACTGACTTCTAGGGCGAGTCTGTCGGAATACCTCAGAGTCCCATGTACCTTCATGTTCCTCGGGGACCTGTCGTTCCTTCCCTAGATTGGCAGCTAGCCTGGGTCGTGAGAGGGGACCGAGTCTTTCAAAAACCCTTGGGTCATTGATCTTCGAGTATATGTGGAGGGGATTCTCTCGATGTTGCTTTAGGAAGTCTCGGCAGTCACGTTAAACGGCTTTCGATCCTTCCAACCCTTCTGCAAGAAGGTGTCTTCCTCCACTTCTCCTGCTTCGGGTCGAAGCAGCTGGGTTGAGAGATGTCTTATGTTGATCAATGTTTTGATGATTAACTCGCTCTTCATTAAGGATACCCATGTCGAAGGAATATGACCCTCCGTGTTGGAGGGCACCCAGATGATGGTTGATGTCCACAGGGGCAACGAGCTCGCGTGTTTCAGTATGCCTAGTTTCGTGGAGCGTCTTAAATAGCCTCTCATACTGCTCTTGGAGGACCTCATTCTTCATTGTTATCTTGTTGTTCTGAGCTTCTAGCTCATCGACTTTAGCTTGAAGAGCAACCCTTTTTCCTTCTTTCTTTCGTTGCTTCGCACTAGGTGTAAGAGGGGTGTCATTCTATGTGTTATGGCTTCCTTCGCTCCCCATGTTGGAGAGGGATGCCTGGTCAAAAGAAAGTGTACGAATGGTGGAAACTAGCCTGACAAAGCTGAAGAGAGTGGGAATAAGTGTCATTCCCACAGACGGCGCCAAAATCGGAGGTCTTGGAACAACGTAAATCCGACCATGAATCTGCAAGAAATGTAAATAACACAAGATGTATCGTGGGTCACCCCAAGGTTTGGGCTACGTCCACACTAATTATGTATTTATTTGAGGGAGAGAGAGCTCTGAGAGTGAGAGCTTTGAGAGGGGGTGAGAGGGCCTAGGAATTGGCCTCAGAAATGGCCTCCCCTAATTGTGAGGGTGAGAGGTCCTTTTATAGAATAAGGACTCCTCACTTATTACATATTTGCCCCTTCCTTTGTCACATAATTACATTTAAGTCCCTCGAGTATTTGTACGAGATCTAAATACGAGGCCCTGAATATGGTATAAACATAGATAATATCATTTCTTAAAAAAAAACAATTATTTGACAACTAATTTAATTACATTATTGTCCGCATTCAAGAATTTTTTTATAACCGACATTACACGCCTCTAAAGATGTTTTGAATGTGTTAAAAATAGAGAAAATAATATTTAACAAACAACTGATTGAATCACATTATTGCTAGCCCATTGTAGAGAGATTTTCCAGTGTGACCGGTACGTGGGGTGGTACACCACGTGTCACTAAACAAATGGTGGGATATGTGTGCTAAAAAGTTAATAACTTAAAAAATAAAATTTCCCATCATTCCTATTAAAACACGTGATGTATCACTTGTGTTCCCGTCACAACTAAAAATTTCTCCCCATTGTGAGGCTAAGCCCACCCCCTCCCCCTTAGTGTAGACAATATTGTTTGTTAAAAAAACAATTATTTGACAACTTATTTAATCACATTATTATTCGTGTGCGAATCACCTTTTTATAACCGGCATCACACGCCTCATAATATGTTTTGAACATGTTTAAAAATAGAGAAATTGAATCACATTATTGCTAGCCTATTGTGAGGTTCTAATTAAAAAAAACCACAAAAAAATTAATTATTAAAAAAATACTGTTAAAATGACAAAAATGCTCCTACCTTATTTGATGCATTATTTTTGGATGCCTTTGAATTTTTTTTCTTAGGGACATTTTTGTCCAAATATTTTTTGTTGAAACTTGGTGACACCAAAATCACTATTCACCTTTTCCATCGGTGTTATATATAGATAGATGTATTCAAAGTAAAGAGCCGTGTGACTAATCTGATGACTATAACCCTCTTTTTTAGCATTTGTTCACACACCAGACACGTTTTTACTTATGTAAGCACATCAAAATGTATTCAAAGTAAAGAGCCATGTGACTCGTGTGACATCTATAGACTGTAACCCAATTTGATCATATATCGATTGTGCTCTCTTTGTACGTACTATCGATTATTTAGTAATGTACTTCACTATTCAGTCTCACATGTTCATTTTGTTCTTCTGAAATAAGTTCCTCTTTAACTTCAGTCGCACGTCACATTTGTAGTTTCATGTTGTGTATTTATACGAGATATATCACTAAAATTGATAAATTTCAGCTAGATTTGTTGCAGGTGTTAAAAATGTATGGGGAAATACACATACAGGAAAGATTGGCAGTGTTAAACTAATTTTCAGGAATGGAGCCTCCCAGGCTTTGCTCTAACGAAATAGATTTCTCTTAGAATGAAAACATATATCAGAAGGTAAATTAAGACTGAAAACATATATGAATATGATTTCACCTAATAACCTGAGTAACTGAACAGTGTATGGGACTTCAACAGACAAGCATTCCAAATTCATGCAAACTTTAAACTTCAGACAGATATTTCACTCATGAAGTGATCACAACGAAACCAAGATGTGTAACTTCAAGAGGGTGAAGGCACAACCTGTACAGTCACAAAAGGTGATGAAAACACAGATCAGATTGACAAAGTGACTAGAAAAAAAAAAAAAAAAAAAAAAAAAACCTCATATCATTGGCCTAGAAATATAAAAAGTGAAGCAACGATATCGAAAATGTGCTTCTGTAGTTTGGTTACATTTTCACTGCTTTGACAACGGAAAATTATATATCTTGGAAGGATGGTGCGTTTGCCAAATTCCTTTTCTTGTGTTTGGTTTGTCTTTAATTCTGCAAAACATTGAGAAAAATCGGAGTGAGTCCGGCCTTCATATATATTGTACCCACAACGCTTATTGCATGCCCCTTTCCGCACTAGTTGGGGGGAAAAATTATGTATAAAAGAAAGCATTTGTTGCGAACCATGAAGCATCCTTCCTTCCTATTGCTAGACCTCACTTTCATCCTACTTAATTAGGGGATTTATTTTGATTTTTTTAAGCCATAAACTACAACAAATGTCCAACAGTAATAACAAGTAAAATATCATAATTGTTGTAAAAGCAATTGAATGTGGATGGCTACAACTCATCCCACTCATCCCACTCATCCTACTACCATTCATCTCACTAAGGTTTGCCTACCACTAACTTACCTGCAAAAAGGAACTTATACCAAATGAGAGGAGAATGAGAGAAACACACGGCAGAAATTGTAGAGGAAGGAAGAAGAAAGAAAAGAGAGGAAGAAGAGAGGAAGAAGAGAGGAGAGAATAGAGAGTTATATTTGTACTCCTATTATTTCAAATTATAAATGAAAGCACCATTGTTGCCCTGAGCACGTACTCCAGTCACACTGACTGTAGAGGAATCTCGTAAATATTGCATGCCTCTTGCCGCACTAGTTAGGCGGACCAATTATGTATAAAAGAAAGCATTTATTGCGAACCATGAAGCATCCTTCCTATTGCTAGAACCTCACTTTCATCCTACTTAATTAGGGGATTTATTTTGATTCTTTTTAAGTCATAAACTACAACAAATGTCCAACAGTAATAACAAGTAAAATATCATTATATGTTAATGGGAAAATGCAATGGGAAATTGAAGATTTATAATTTATTCTGTTACATAAATCCATGTAGCTGTTGACATTCTATTTCTTCCCGGAGTGTAACACAGGGATGGTTTGTTCATCTCTAAAGAAGTTACCGGGATCGACTAGAGTCTTAACTTGAACAAGTCTCCTAAAGTTATTCTTGAAATACTTCAAACCCCAAGCGCTTGCTTGTGCATAGCTTGTATTGCAATCACCATTCCTTCCCAAGTCAAGATCTCTATAGTTTAAATAGGAAGCTCTTGGAGACTTGGAAACGTACGGTGCCAGGTAGGCATACACCATTCTCATCCCGCTAATATGTTTCTCAGTTTCTTCGGCATCACCCCAATTGTCGAAATACTGGATCTCAAACAAATTTCCTTTTCTATGTGGGAAAGGAATTTCTGAATCAGAAATCTCACTCATTCTTCCACCGAAAGGTGTCAATATCAACTGGAATGAATCCAATTCAAGCATTGTTTTCCATAAACCTTCCAAGGCAGCCCCTGAAATAGGTTTTGTAACATAATCTGATTTGGCTTTGAAGAATCTCTTAGATTGTTGAGTCCTCTGAAGCAGAACTTCTGTTTCGTTTCTTGGAATGTTAGCAATGTATAGAACTGATGAAATCCAACTCATCTCAATGAAATTCTTCCGCTCTAAATCTAACTCCGGGAAATTTTCTTGCATCCAAGGAAGAAGTTTCTCAACACTCTCGAAAAACAAGAAATTGAATAAAACTTGTATAGTTTTTCCACCATTTTTACCAGCTCCATTTGCAACTTGGATAACCAAACGCAGGAAATACTCTTCAGGCATCCTGTCAGCTATAGCTTGCCATTTAGATACAAGTTTGGTTGTACCTTGTTCTATGGTCTTCGATACCGTGTAACCTGTTACAGTTGGAGGAACAGGAACCAACCTGAGTTTCCAAGCCACAATGACTCCAAAGCTTGAGCCTCCGCCTCCTCGAATAGCCCAAAAGAGCTCTTCTCCCATGGATTTTCTGTCAAGAACTCTGCCATTAACGTCGACAATCTTAGCATCAAGGACATTGTCAGCTGCTAGACCATATTTCCTGAACAAGGGACCATGTCCACCTCCACTAATGTGTCCTCCCACACCAATAGTTGGACAGATACCTGCTGGAAAGCCATAGAGTTTGCTCTTTTGTGCAATTGCGTAGTACAACTCTCCGAGAGTAGCACCTGACTCAACCCAAGCCCTCTCCTTCTTTATGTCAATATCAATGGATCGAAGATTGAAAAGATCAATGATGATGAAAGGAGATTCGGATACATAAGATAGGCCCTCATAGTCATGGCCCCCGCTTCGTGTTCTTATTTCTATGCCCTCTTTCTTGGAGCATACTATAGCTGCTTGAACATGAGAGTATTGAGAAGGGGTAATGATAGCTTTTGGTTTCGGTGTTGTGTTCAAGAATCTGAGATTTTGTATGGAAGATTGCAAGACTGAGGAATAAACCGAACTGTTTTCGGTGAGAATGATGCTGCTCGTTGAGTTAGAGTGTATGATGGAGGAAAAGCATTGAACAAAGCTTTCCGAAATCGAGTTAGAAGTTGTGGAGCAAACCGAGCTTAGAAGGATGAGAAGTAGTAGGGGAAGTAGTTTTATGTGTGAGATCTCCATCTTTATTTGTTCTAAATATATGAAATTGTATGATCTCTGAGCTCACTTATGTAGGTACATGAGTTGGAAGAATTGAAAAGATCATGCCCTTTATGCAACGTGGTTCCTATTTTTTTTCAAAAAATAGGGATTAGGTGTGATCCATGTGGAGCCCACTCCACATTGATTTTCAACGATCTGAACTGTCTATTTTGTAAATCTCGATTCATAGATCATCCTTGCAAAACTTTAATTCAATTTGAAATCATTTGTTTATTTAATTATCAAGATCAAATATCATTGTTTCTTATATAACAAAATATTCGTTCATTTCTATGAACCCAATTAGATGTCTTAAATATTTTTAATTTGGCTAATATTTTGCAAAGATGATCTATGAGGTACAACTTGAAAAATAAACGATTCACACTATTAAAATTTGATGTGATGTGAATTCAACAACTAATTTCAATTTTTATAAAAAAATAGAAATCCTTTATCTTAAAAGCTTCCTTGAAAAGAAATAGGAGACTTCTCCTAAACGTTTGCCCACCAACAGAGACTTCTCATACACAATTATGTTGAAATCGGAGATGCAAATAATTTAATATTCTTTACAAATAAAAATATTATAATCTGTACGATCTGACACATGTAATTTAAATTAATAATTTTTCAATGCGAATCATGATCCAGTTCTATTTTTTAGTATTTGCTGATTATGGATGGATATGAGCATTTTGATCGGGGAATAGTTGTGAAACAATAATTTTATACATTTGGGTCATCAATGCATTTATTTTAAAGAAGTATATTCGTAGAAGTAATTTTCATTTATTTCAAAGAAGCTTCTGAGATGCAAGTCAAGTCAAGGACACGTTTAATTTAGCTCATCTCGTAGCAACTGCTGCGTTTTAAACTTAGTTCCCGGAAGTTGCCTAGCATGAAAAATCTGAACTATTTTTAGAATGTATGTGGGAGGCGACATAATGAGGCTTGTTTTGTTCTTCCGAGATTGGATTAAAGTACTCATAAGATTCAAGGAATACACCTTGGACTGGATTGGATTCATCATATATTCATAAGATTCAAGGTATACACCTTGGACTGGATTGGATTCATCATATATGTTGAAGAAAAAGTTAAGTAGTAATGAATCCAACATTTATAAATCGTCATCGTAGTAAATCATAAGTCATAAATTATAAATTATAATTTATAAATCTGTTAAAGTCTGTACTAAGAATTGATCATAAAAATATCATATTCCAAACTCAGAGACATGATACACCATTTAATTTTATTTAACCTTATGGCTGCATCTAACTTTCAAGTTGGATTGCCTACGTACCATCCGAAGAGATCGAACCAATTATTTATCACCATTTTGTTAAACTCAAAATAGAAATCTTGTGTTTGCAATGACTTTCAAAATTTCTTATTCAATTCTCATTTTTATTTCTTAGGTCGATTATGTTGGGGCTTAAAAAGACTTCACTACTTTGGAGATGTTTATCTCACAAAGAGGAATGTAATGCAGCAGAATTGATAGGCAAAAGAAAGAAAGAAAGAATACTCAAAGTATTACACAAGATTTTTATTCACCCACAAACTTAGTATAAGAGGAAACACTCAAACACTCAAACACTCTTAGAAGCTTTGTTGCTTCTTCTCACTTCTCACTTGGCACTCTCACTTCTCACTGCTTGCTCTCTTGGTTGTTACAAATGGTATGGATGCCTTCTCCTTTTGTAGGCATGGATGGAACCTTGGAGAAGTATGGAAGCACCATGCTAAAGATATCTAGATAATTCCACTATCTTCCTAAGTTAGAATTATCTACACTAATCTTGTATGTTGGTGGAATCCTCACCATTCTTCTAGACTCTTCTACCAACTTGAACTTTGCTAGAATTCTTTAGCATGTTCATAGATCTTTCTTTGTGCATGGGCTGGATCCATTATCTTTGGGCCAAGATAATTAAGATTACAATTCAACACATTATGCCGTAATAGACATTTGATTCAACAATAATATATCCAAACCAAGATCACGTTTACTCTTCTCTTAAGAAAACCCACTTTCTTCAAATACTTGAACCCAGACAAAATCTGATTAGAATTTCTTCATTTTTCTATACAACTCCTACACGCAAAGAACCTTAACTTTTGATTCACAATTCGTAATTTCTTATAAAGCTTCACCACCAAATCTTCCCACCATCAAACATATAGCCATCAGTTTCTTCCCCAACAGCATCATCATACCAGGCAATTGTGTTCCTACTTCTTATGTCCAACCAACTCCATTCATGCATAAAGTACAATAAAGAAACTTAATTTCTATTTAATCATCCTTATTAGCTAAAACCCAATTGCAAGTATAAAAATCCATACAAACTTCACCTATCAGTTTGTAGAAAATTAAACCAGAAAAGAAGGGTAACAAAGCAAAATTAATCCACACCTGAACCGAAGCACGACCTTCCTCCGAAACAACAACAGGAGCAATCCAAGTAATGTAAGAATGGTGCCAATTCATACTCAGATTGCAGGTGACTCCAGAAGCAATAACGGCAATTCCGTCGTCTCCCAGCTCGAAATGCTACGGGTCCACATAGATTCCATAGATAGTGACGTTGAAGCATTTCCTAGAACGGCATTCTCTTGGATTTCGAAGTTTTGGGGAGCTGGAGTGGAATTATTGAGGAAACGGCCTGAGTTACGGGCAAGACCGTAAGAAAATCGAGACCCCTTTTTGGGACGTGATGATGGAGGTGAAGGCTTGGTCGGCGACTTCCCCCCTCCCCCAAACCCAACCTAACTGCCCGCACGGAGGAAGAAGAGGAAGCTGTTGGCTTCCAGAAAATTCCTTCTAAAATTACCAAATTGCCTATTGTTTAGAAATTTCTCCTTTGAATTCCAAATTCCAATCCCTTTGCGCTCAAATGTTCTTACCAACGAGTACTTTTCAAATAAAATAAGATGTTGAGCACATGTCTCATGCTCAAAGGTTCAACAAAAATGAAATTTATCTTTTATGGGTGTTTTCCACATTAATATGAAATATTTTACTCGAAAAATTAGAGACGGGGTTACGACGTCCATGTTTATATGCATGTAACGATAAGTACATTGCAGTAATTGATGAAGAAATGTCTAATATTTCTCTTAATTATTATTTCGTCAGTTTCAGTAAAACAAGCATCCTTCATTCCCATTGCTAATTAAAACCTTACTTTCATCCTACTTGGCCAACTAATTTGATTCTTTCTAAAGCCATAAACTACAACAAACATGCAACAGTTATAACAAGTAATATCATATTATTAATTTGTAAAATGCAACTTATTATTGCGGTATAATACAATGACTAACTGAGGATTTATAATTTATTCTGTTGCATATAAGTCCATCAAGTTGACATTCTATTTCTTCGCAGACTGTAACACCGGGAGGCTTTGTTCATCTCTAAAGAAATTATCAGGATCGACTGAAGTCTTTATTTGAACAAGTCTCCCAAAGTTATTCTTGAAATACTTCAATCCCCAAGCGCTTGCTTGTGCATAGCTTGTATTAGCATCCTTGTTCCTCCCCAAATCAAGATCCCTATAATTCAAATAGGCGGCTCTTGGGGACTTTGAAACATATGGTGTCATGTACTCATACACACTTCTCACCCCGCTAATACGTTCCTCAGTTTCTTCGTCATCAACCCAATTGTCGACATACTGGATCTCAAACAAATTTCCTTTTCTATGTGGGAAAGGAATTTCCCAATCATAAATCTCACTCATTCTTCCACCGTAAGGTGTCAGTATCAACTGTAATGAATCCAATTCAAGCATTGTTTTCCATAAACCTTCTAAGGCAGCTTCTGAAATAGGTTCAGTAACAAAATCTGATTTGTTTTTGAAGAATACCCTCGATTGTTGAGTCCGCTGAAGCAGAACTTGTGATTCGTTTATCGGGATGTTAGCAACGTATAGAGCGGACTCAATCCAACTCATTTCAGTGAATGTGGACTGGTCTAAATTTAACTCAGGGAAATTTTCATGCATCCAAGGGAGAAGTTTCTCAACAGTCTCAAAAGCCACGAAATTGAACGTAACTTGAATAGTTTTTCCACCATTTGTACCAGTTCCATTTGCAACTTGGATAACCAAACGCAGGAAGTACTGTTGAGGCATCCTATCAGCTATAGCTTGCCATTTGGAAACAAGTTTGGTTGCACCTTGTTCAATGGTCTTCGATTCCATGTAGCCTGTTACAATTGGAGGAACAGGAACCAACCTAAGTTTCCAGGCCAGGATGACTCCAAAGTTTGAGCCTCCGCCGCCTCGAATTGCCCAAAAGAGATCTTTTCCCATAGATTTTCTGTCAAGAATTCTTCCGCTAACGTCGACAATCTTAGCATCAAGGACATTGTCAGCAGCTAGACCGTATTGTCTGCACAAGGTACCATGTCCACCTCCACTAATATGTCCTCCCACACCAATAGTTGGACATGTCCCTGCTGGAAAGCCATAGAGTTTACTCTTTTGTGCAATTGCATAGTACAACTCTCCAAGAGTAGCACCTGACTCAACCCAAGCCCTCTCCTTCTTTATGTCAATATCAATGGATCGAAGATTGAAAAGATCAATGATGATGAAAGGAGATTTGGACACATAAGATAGGCCCTCATAGTCATGTCCTCCGCTTCGGGTTCTTATTTGTATGCCCACTTTCTTGGCACATACCACAGCTGCTTGAACATGAGAGTATTGATGAGGAGTAATGATAGCTTGTGGTTTCGGTGTTGATGTGTTCAAGAATCGGAGATTCTGTATGGAAGATTGCAACACTAGGGTATAGTCTGAAGAGCTTTCGGTGAGGATGATTTTGCCTGTTGAGTTCGAATGTATGCGGGAGGAAAAGCATTGAACAAAGCTTTCCGAAATCGAGTTTGAAGTTGTAGAACAAACTGAGTTTAGAAGGAAGAAAAGTAGTAGGGGAACGAGTTTTATGTGTGAGATCTCCATCTTTATTTGTTGAAATGGTATGAGATCTGAACTCACTTATATAGATAACTATGAGTTGGAAGAATTGAAAAGATATATAGGTAGACTTTTCATAAGCGTTTGCCTTACAAAAGACATTTCATAGCAGTGAAATGCAAATTGGATTTTGGCTTCAAATAACCCGCTGCTCTTTTCTTATTTGCCCATAAGTCAGCATCATGTGATACGCACATGCTTAATCTGGACGGAATATGTAACAAAGTTGATGAAATTGACCATTGCTCTACATTTTGACAAGTTAAAAGACCAATGATCATAAATTTTAAGTTAATAGATTAAAGCTCCAATTGGGTTGAAAGTTTAGGAACCTTTGCTCCAATTTTCTCTTCGTTTTGTGGTGCCCTTTTTTTTTTTTTTTTTTTTTGTGCTGTTGTTTTCTTTGTCTGTCATTTTATTAGGTTGTTAAAATGAATTAAGAGGAAAACCGTGAGAAGGAAGCTAAATATAAATTGTAGCATTCAATCATACTCTGTATTTTTTAGTTAAATTTGATGGGTTTTCTTAAAAAAATATATATATATACTTCAAGTATACTCTCTAGTTTAAGGAGTCATAAAACTTGTGCACCTATATGAATAAAGTTTTTTCTTTAATATTGTTAAAATATTGGTAACTCCTCTCACACTTTCCATTTTATAAGAGGTTGACGTAGTTTAAAGAGGTGGCCAGGCAATTGACCAAACCCTATCACATACCGACAGCAAGCAAGAGCTGTGTCGGCTTACCCGAAAAATTTCATTATTGTCACCCCAAATGCTACTACCTCTTTGCTAAGCACAAGAATGCTTGATCGAGAAAAGCAAGCAAAGAAGTAGCAGGATGCGGAATTGTGACTATTTAAATACGAGGGGAGGGAAGGCACGAGGGGAGGAAGGGGAGGAAAGAAAAAAAAAGGGACACAATCCTACTCCGCACTTTTTCCACTCTCAAGATTTAGGAGCTCTTAGAAAAATTCCTATGTTAGAAGATTGAGGATACATAGTTATTGATGTGCCGTTTAGCTACCCATCAGAGCCACTACCCCAATCTTTGCAACGAATGTTAGTGGTATTTTCAGTTTTTCTTGGTAGTGAATTTCAAGTTGTTCTTGTAGTGAATTTCAAGGTGTGCACCAAACTGATCAATAGAAAAGGGATGAACTGATGAAGAGGTTAGTGAATATGAGCTGACGAAGGGATTAGTGAAGTCTTTTCACAAGAGCGTGAGAAATATTTCACGTAGAGCATTGAAGATCCGACGCCTAGGTGCTAGGTGGTGAAGATCCGCCGCGATTTAGAGCAAATTGTTTCAAAAAATTGGTTTGGAGCTAGGCGGTCCTAGGCAGATTTTTTTTTTTTGGGTTTTAAAGAAACACTCTTGGTAGAACCCACTTTTAACGAAAATGACATTTTTACTCTAAAAAGTCACTCCTGTTACTATTCACTTACAACACATTTTTGTCAATTTGATTAAAACTCAAAGTTTTCAAGCCCTTTTCATTAGTTTTCCTTTTTTTTTAATTGTGTGTGTGTGTTTTTTTTTAGTTTCACGGTGGTATACTTATAGAAATGGTGTACCTAATTTGCAGAGGATGGATTGACTATAAGTTCATCCAATTGTGAAATGAATTGAAGAACTTTTGAGGGGATACATACAAAAAAAAAAAAAACAAACAAACAAACAAACAAACTAGATAAAACAACGTTAAATAATTTAGTCTATGTCCAATCCAATGCAAGGATCATGAACAAAAAGAATTTAGTCTATCATCCAAGAATACTCCTCATTATGATTATATGTTTACTGTTTTTTAAATATTGAACTTGTTTGATGGATGTACTTTGTGTATTCTTCTGCTTCTATTTTTGCATTTTATCATTTTTTTATTATCCATACAAGTATAGTTTTTTTTAAGTGTAAATATGCACTTATTTACAATATATATATATATATATATATATATTAAATTTACATAAATCCGCATAAGCGCCTGCCTAGCCGCTAGGTCCCTACCCGCTGTCCGACTAGCGCTTAACGTTTTTCAGAACCTTGATTGTTTGTTGCGTTAAAGGTTGTTTTTTTCAATATTGTCTGCAACTTTTTATTTCTAAGGGGAAACAACTTTGCTACTGAAAAGATCAGCAGCAGCTACTGCTGATGGCCTATCATACGCGGACACGTGTTTGAGCTTTTTATCAGCAGCTGCTGCGGATCTTTCAACAGCTAAGTCTTGTTCTTTATAAGGACACACATGCTCGACCTAGCTTGATCCTCTTGTAGAATCCAATTGCAACTATAAGGGCATGTTTACATATCTGTAATTGGAATCAAAAGTCGGAGTGCGATTTTGATTACTAATTATTCTTGTGTTTACTAAAATTTGGAGGAATCAAAATGAGTGAGTGCACTCGAAAGGTAGGTATTGAATTCTTGATTTTGGAGGAATGGAACTCCTGAGTAGAAGGTGCCATTTGAATTTCGGGACAAAGGAGGAATCCGTAATACAATTTTCTACCTATTATAACCCCATGTAATTCCTAAAAACTCCAACTCTGCCACTCAAATCAACAAGCCCAGACCTATCTACCTGCCTCCCCTTCACCTCCTTGTGCCCCAGTGAACCAATCTCAAGAATCCCAGGGCGTCTTTAGATGTCGTAGTGAGCTGGTTGTTCTTTGGTTGTGGCATCATGGTCGTGTGGGGATGGAGGTGCGACACGCGAGAGAGATCAATGGATGCGCTGGAAATGATGATGAAGGATCCATAGAAAATAAAATGGAGGAGAGGGAGGGAGAGAGTGGTGGCGATAACAGTTGGTGAGGACTGACGAAGGATACTGGGGAGAAGAGAAAAGACGTGAAAAATTAGGTTTCAAAAGGTAGAAAACTTGGGCTGCTGGCTTGGAAAGTTATGGGGGGGGGTGTGGGTATAAAAAATTAGGTTTGAAAAGGTCAAAAAAAATTTAAAAAATTAGTTTATAATGAGATTGAAAATTCAATCATTTATGGGGTTAAGATTGTATGAAAATTAAATTTTAACATAAAATAATTCAATCACGCCACCAGGACTCCAATCCAATTACTTCACGCAATGGTGCTACTACAATCTACATGTCCGCAAGCTAAGGGCCTGTTTGGTATTATATTAAAAAAAATTCATCATTATGCAAAACACTTCTTAAAAACATGTCTTAAGAACAATTTTCTTTAAAATTCAAAAACTTGTTTGGTATGAAATTCGCAATTGTTTTTAAATAAAAAATACTCATCCTATAGTGTGAACTTCTAAATTCAAAGAGAGAAAAATGAGAGAGAGTAGAGAGGAAAAGGAGAGAAGGAAAGAAAGGGAAGAGAAAGAAATAGGAGAGTGGATCGGAGGAGAGAGAGAGAGAGAGAGAGAGAGAGAGAGAGAGAGAGAGAGAAATATGAGAGGATTGAAGGAGAGAAAAATATGAGGAGTGAGAGAAATGATAGGGATAAAAGATAAGGGATTAGGTGTGAGAGAAAAGGGAAGAGAGAAAGAGTGATCTTTAAAGTTAAAAATTCTAAAAACACACTTTTGGTGTTTTTAAGAAATAGGTTAATTCTTAAGTTAGTTTTGAATCCAATTTTTTAAAAGAATCATACCAAACAAGTTTTTAACACTTAAAACTTGAAACTGTTTTTGAGTTTAAAAAGTTGGATTTAAATAGAATACCAAATAAGCCCTAAAAATCCCAAACTAATTTGAACTGCAATGCTTGCTTACTTTTGTATTAGAGGTATAGTTTGCATCTTAATCCTATCTATCTTGCGTACAAAAATGTTAAAGATAATTTGATACACTATTAAGAGATAATTATCATGCCTAATAAAATTACAATATTACCCCTCAATCCTAACTACAAAATCATCTTAAAAGCTCTCACATTCAATGATCTAGAACTCTTCTCATTCAATGACCTCGTTGCTAAGAAGTTAATCATAACTTAAGCAATGTTATTTTAAAAAATGGCCTTGTTGCTCAATCCGATAGTGTAATATTTAGTCCAAACCGAACCATATGATCTATACCATATCATTAACAAAAAACATGTCATGTCACAATTGTCCAAGGAGTCGAAGACTATGCTGATAAATACGTTATCTTATAAGCTGACTACATTGGTTGAGGCATTGGATGAGACAGCCCAACGGCGAAACGTGCTTAAGTCGCCTATGGAAAGAGCGTAACTGACCAATATAAGCTTGTCCAAAACTTGTCAAAGTCTCCATAATTATTTTCATTAGCTTATGGCATATTTAGAGTTCAACATATACGAATCTGGTTGACGTTTCCACTTTGTGCTATGAGGGTGAAAGAAAATTGCAGTCATTGGATGCACATTGGAAAGCTTCTACGTGGAAACTTCAAAGTGAAGAAGATTCTGGTATGAAATTTAGCATATGACATGATTATGTCGTGGAGACATCAGCAAATAACTCATCGCTTCCAAGATGGCTGCAATGATCAGCTTGTCGCCTACTATTAAGTGCCGCCTTCTCACAGACCAGTGAACTATTTTCTTGGTTTACATATCTGTCCTAGCTTAACCAGAAAATCAACTAGCCGCCCTCGGCTTATTTGAGGTTTAAAGTGGGGCACTTCAGATGATGATTTTCACCTGTGGCTCAAAACGACTTCGTTTTAGACAACGAGAAAATATGCCAGCGCGTTGTTGCAGGACTTGAATGTATTAGTTGCAACATGCATGAATAGTTTCCACATAAAACAACTAAAAAAACGTAGCACCTAAGAATCAATGAACAATTGGGACATCTTACTCATATGTTAAAGAGTCTCAATCCCTATTGAACAAAAGTCCTATTTCTTCTTCAAATTGAATCGACATCATTGATCAAGCAATTAAACATTCCTACTGGCAAATAATTAACCCAAGATTTGAGCAGATATATAGGGATTGGAAAAAAGGGACGCAATTAAACTATATAATTTAACAAAAGTAAATGTCAACCGAACTCTTCGAATTAAACTATATATCTAATTTACCAGAAAACTTTGTAAAATTGACAGTTTACCTAATATAAGCACTTAATTTTCCTATTTAAAACAGTTTACCCATTCTTGATAAGTAAAATATAGCTTAAGCTTAATTTATTAACAGCTTAATGTAGTTCAAAAGTATTTCTGTTGTGGCGAGAAGGAAAAGCTACAGCCAACCCGCTTTAACTTTTTTACTTTTTCCAGATGCATATGTACAGTTTACCTGCACTGTCATACCATGTGTCTTGAGCTGTTATCTATCCTCCACTTGCAGCATTTTCGCTCTTGCACAGGAACCTCAACAGCAAACGATTTCATCTGTTACCGGTTAATGGAGATGTCTTCTGCATGACTAGACTACAAAGAGGGAGAAAAACAGTATTAAGAAAACACATTATACTCAAAATCATCACACTAGAGATATTTTCAAACAAATCACAATTCATTACACAAAGTGCATCGAACTGCAAGGCAAGACCAAGCAAACACACAAACGGTATAAAAACCCAATAAAAGTAAAAGTGTAACAATATTGTTATGCATCTGGATTTATTCTCACAGACAATGAATATAACAATTTGAAGATCTTGTTACTCAAGCTCCAAGGAAAAATGAAATAAAATTCAATGGTTTAAATTAATCCTTATGTAAATGTATTCCCCATATCTATATTATTCAAGTACAATGAAATTCAATGGTTTCAACAAAAAATAAATCCTGATTGACTTGAGTTCAGGATATTCAAGTACAACGTAATTGAAATCTATGCAAGAGATTCCATGAAAACATAACATACAAACAAAACTTAATTGAAAGTAGAAAGAAAACTTGGACATGAGAACCGAAACTAATATTTGTAAGGCGTATAGTTTACTCCCATTATCATATTTTCTTTCTCTCACTGTCACAATCCCACCCACGAAATCGAAGATCCGCACGAATGGGTGACATCCTCACTCACAATTTTTCTCTCCTATCCCTATTGTATAAACACATTGTACCATAAAATGGCTTTACATCAGAGAGGGAGCGAGGGAAGAAAGAGAGGGTAGAGAGAGAGAGAGTGCGCACAGAGTCATAAATCTTGAAACATCCCAACGTTACAAAAGCAGTAGTACAAAGTGAGCACCAATGATACCGCAACAGTATAAAGAGCATATCACTCACCAGCTAATCTAGCTTGAAATAATAGGGAAAGAACCTTGAATGAGATCTTCAATCCACTGAGACAACCCAAATGAATAGACAAAAACACAATTAATTAACACGAGGACAAAGAACCTGAGAAGCAGAAACAAACTTGTATGCACAAAATTTTTATGCAAGTAAACAAACATCCAGTTGTACTGAGACTTGAATGATCCATGTTTTCTAATATAAGTTAAACCCAACCATGAATTTACAAAAAAAATAGGTAGAATTATTAACATAACTCAGAAAAAAAAGACTCAACTTTGCTATTAAATTTTTTGCATAACTTAAACCCAACAAATTTAACTAATTAGATTCATCCACAAAATAGATTTTAACATAACCTCAAAGAGTTTCTTCTAACCAAGTAAACCATTACTTAGAGACAGGGAGCCGGCATGGGGCCTGGGGGTTATTGGACATTCACTAGTGATTGTTATATATACAAGTTATGATTTGAGACAGTGCACGGCATGCTAGGTTTCGGAAAACCTATGTTTATCATGATATATATGTGTTTTCATAAAACCTGGGGGTTAGTACGTTTATAACTGTTTTAGTATATATATATATATCAACTTGGTCCACTCATGTTTGTTTTGCGCTCCCTTCAGGACTTAGAATCGAGGCGTACAATCCCAGCATCCAAGCACTTCCGCATCGGCATCTTTGAGTCTTTTCGGTGTAGGATCCATTCTTTGTTTCATTCAATTTTATATTATTTCTTTTAGTGTTCTAGTTAGTTGTATGCTCTAATTGCGTTCATTAAATGCATATTCATTATTCTTTTATATTTATAAGTCTTATACATCCCTTGTTTTCAGCATTTGCATTCAATAAATGGCTTTCGTCACCCTCGGGTGTCGGCCAGCACGTGCCTATCCTGGTATTCGGGGAATATTGGGATCGGGGCGTGTCACGTTAAGCAAACACCCATCTTATCAATGGTTCAGAATGATAGTTTGACCACATATGCCAAACTATAAATCTAAACCATTGATCAGGTAAACTTTTGCAAGAATGTGTGGTCCATATACACTGTCTGGGAACATAACCACCTATGTTGCCAAAACTTGGAAATAAAATATGGAAATCACAACCCAAAACACAGATTAACAAATGGTATCATTTCAGATTTTCACAAACAACACAGCAGATAAGGAAGAGTAAAGAAAATTAGAGAGAAATTCGAACAGAGTAAGGAAAACTAACTATGCACAGACTTACCATAATCACAATAAGGTAGATTAACAAATGCTATCATTTCAGATTTTCACATACAACATAGCAGATGAGGAAGAGTAAACAAAATAGAGAGAAATTCAAACAGAGTATGGAAAACTAACTATGCATACCATAATCACCAATAATATTCCACAATTATCAAAGAAAATCAAACATGCATGGAACAAAAATTAGAAATTAAACACTTATCAAAACTTGTGAAGAATGCTAAATCCAACTAATTCGAAACATAAAGTAACCAGAAAGTAATAAAACTTTTAAATTCTATATAAATTATAATCCTTTGGAGAAAATCTCCAATATCCATTATCCAATTAATTGTATTAAAAAACCTAGCAAATCTCCATTAAATTAAACACATTTTCCAATAAAGTATCCATCTTTTCACAGCAAAGCAATACAAAGATCATGAGCAAGTAAATCTGGAACACTACCATCAAACTTCCATCAATCAATAACCATAATTATAAATTTTGACAAACTTATAGTTGCTACAGCGTTTGACAATGATCAGGCAAAATCTGAATCTTTCGTGGAGCCACAAATGTTCTATCAGAAAAAAATGAATAATCGAATTAGTTGATTAAATTTACGGAAGAGAAAGAGAAGAGGGGAATAGAGGAGATCAGCAGAAGGAGACGAAATCAGATTCAGAGTTTGAGAGTCAATTGCTGAATTTAAATTAACTGACCATTTTAATCACAGACAGTCAAACTGGAACGCACAGGGAAAAGCGGAAGAAGAAAAAGAAGATGGTTCTCAGATCGGTACATCAGCACTCCCTTCAAAACCCCAAAATCAGAAGATTAGAAAAAGAACCCAAAATCAGTGCCATGGTCCTCGTTTCTCCATTAATCAATAGCTAATGACCTAATAAAAAAGAACCCAAAACAGACTGCTTAAATTATGGAAAGTGCTTTTAGAGCCTGCATAGGAATGGTATAGCGCAGATAACAACAGACAATAAAATTATGCACAGTATAACCTAAATCCGATATGTTACATTCCACACACACACAGATATGTCGAAAACTCGAAATTATTATAAAGTAAGGACAACTATATTATACAATCAACTTTGAAGTGTTATCCATTGGTAAATTTTCAGTATTAATTCTATTGGATTATCCATAAGAAATTAAGAATCCAAAACTGCATCAATTCTTACATTTTCTGAGCAACCAAACAGGGGATAACACAAACTGCATCAATTCTTAGTCCATCTCCACCACGTAACTAAATTGGATGGGCAATTAACTATAGTTTTTTTATATTAAAAAAATAACATTATGTTTAATTTTGATCAGGACTTTTAACTAATCTCTTCAAGCCAAGTGTTATTATTCGAAATTACAATTCCGTCCCAATCATGCCACGGTTGTGCCACGTGGACAACAAAGTGTTTTAGGAATTTTTTTTTTTGAATTTTTACAATCAGGATTAAAAAGGACCGGTGGATTTGGGAAATCCAACAGCCCAGATTCGTAGACAGGTGCAGTGCAGGCCCCGCCACCTGGATTTTGTCAAACAACTCGCACCTACACACCTGGCGCAAAAAAATTTATAACGTGGGTGGTTGACATCAGATAACCTCAAACAAGGCCTCATGCCATTCTTACCCAACTACTTGGTTTGTGAGAGATGAGCCCACCCAATCGGTGGGGCAATGGGCATGGGCTGAAGCAAATTTTGAAGAAATCGGAGGATTTAATCACTCCATAAGTGGGCAATTTGTAGAAATGGAGTTGCTCATCTAAAGAAGATTCTGCCATTTCTATTTCTGTCTAGCTACACGCTAGAAAACCAAACATGCTATATGCACGAGGCATTACCAGAAGGCATATAATGTGAGCTATCTCGGCACGGCAGGTACAAAATTATATAGAATCCGAGGCATTGTTACTGAAACTAGAGTTGTTTTGAGTGACACTTCTTATTCAAGTGACACTTCTTGTTTATCTTTAGTTCCGTTTACTCCATTTCACGCAATAATGAAAATCAAACAAATTATGAGCCAAATGAGGAAGCAAGATCAACTTAGTATCACCACAATACAAATGCTAAGAAATATGGGTATACACATGGGTACAAACACAAATAAAACTTTAAAAAATATGGGCACAAAAAGAAACTAATATATGGGTACAAATTAAAAATGAAAAAAAAATTGGTACAAATTAAAAAATATATGCAAATTAAAAATATGTACAAACTAAAAGTAAAATATATGATAAAAAATTTAGCCATAAATATAAATATACTAATTGTAACATTTTTAACACTAAAAGAATATATTTAAAAATAAAAATATTTTATTATTCAAATAATTAATGATGTTATTAATACCAAATGACCTTGATAAAAAATTAAAAAATGAATAGGATTTTAATCAATGGAGTAACAAATCTGGTAAAGTCTGTACTAAGAGCTGATCATAAAAATATCACATCCCAAACTCGGAGACATGATACACCATTTAATTCTATTTAACCTTATGACTGCATCTAACTTTCTAGTTGGATTACCTACGTACCATCCGAAGAGATCAGACCAATTATATACACCATTTTGTTAAACTCAAAATAGAAATCTTGTGTTTGCAATGACTTTCAAAATTTCTCATTCAATTCTCATTTTCATTTCTTAGGTCAATTATGCCGGAATAGACATGTGCTTAAACAATAATATATCGAAACCAAGATCACGTTTACTCTTCTCTTAAGAAAACCCACTTTCTTCAAATACTTGATGGAGGTGATGATGGAGGTGTAAAACTTAAGAACACAAAGTTTTTACTTCAATTGCATACCATTCAATGAGTGGGATGCATGTATTTATAATTACTAACAGATTACAATCAGGGTTTGAACTAATCCTATTTACATGGAAGTTCAAAATTCAAAAGATACTGTCTGAAATCTATAAGGATTATAACCAGTTCTAGTTAGAAGGATAATTAAAAAAGAAGTCCTATAAACAAGGAGATAAGACTCCTAGGCGCAGCACAAGTCTTCAAGAGACGTTGGCTACCATCAACGGTTGACTTCATCTAACAGCCCACCGCAAGCTGACTGGGGGTGGAACAACATGAAGCTTGGATACCAGCAACTGGAAACGCGATGATGACAGTCCTTTGGTAAACAAACCAGCTAGCTAATCTCGAGAACAAATGTAATTAACTAATAATTCAGCACAAACAACCTTTTCCTGCACGTAATGATGATCAACCTCGAGATGTTTTGTGGGGGAATGGAAGACAAGATTGGATGCAAGTGCAATTGAAGAGACATTATCACACCAAATTGTTGGTTGACAAAGATGCAAATGTAGATCCTTAAAGAGAGATCGAAGCCATGATAACTTAGCTGCAGAATAGGCCAACTGTCTGTACTCAGCCTCTGCACTAGACCGGGACACCATCTTCTGTTTCTTAACTCCATGAGACAAGATTGGGACCCAAATAAATACAATAGCCACCCGTGGAATGTCTGGTATCTAGATTACCAGCATAATCAGCATCAGAAAACGCAGACAACCTAGTATTTCCAGGTTTGTAGAGAAGTCCATTATTATGCATGGCTTTCAAGTAACAGAGAATACATTTCACAGCAGCCTTCCAGTGAGCAAGTTTAGGTGCATGAATAAACTGGCATACTTGAGGTACCGTTTGGTACGTGGGACGGGATGGAACGGAGTGGAACGAGGCGTTCCGTCCCATGTTTGGTGCACCTAAAACGAGTGGAACATGCTGTTCCACGGGACGAATTTTGGGTGAATTTTCGTTCCGCCTCACCCCTTAGAACAACTCATTCCACATCCGTAGAACACAAAATTATAACCTCTCAGTTTCTTTTTTCTTCCTCCTTGTTTCCATCCGAGAGCATCCTAGGCGGTGAAGTCACAGCGGGGTTGTCAGTTTGAATAGGTGAAGAGGGTCTAGGTTGTGAAGTCACATCAGGTTGGTCTGTTTGAATAGGTGAAGAAGTAGGAGCAGGGTGGGAGACAGTTTGGCATGGGTTTGCATGTGTGGATGAAATTTGTGGTGGAGTGTGATTAAGTGTTGGTATAGGAGTAGGTAACTCGGTCAAAGAAGGAGGTGGGTTTTCAGGGAAATTAAATGAGAGAGCTGGCGAAGAAGGATTACCTTGTGTTTGAACGCTCTCAGAGAAAGATGTGAGTCCTTGAAAAGGATAAAAGTCCTCATTGAATAGAACATGGCGAGACAAATAAACTCATTTCGTAGACAAATCCATACATTTGTAGCCTTGATGATTCAAAGAGTAATCTAAGAACACACATGATTTTGATTTTTGTTGAAGTTTATTTGCTGTGTATGGCATTAACCACGGAAAACATTGACAACCAAAAACTTTTACGGTATCATAGTTTGGTGGTTTATGAAATAACTTCTCATAAGGTGACAAGTTAAACAACACACGGGTTGGCAACCTATTGATGAGATATGTTGTTGTGTTGCAAGCATCAAACCAAAACTTAGTAGGCATGTGTGACTGAGAAAGCATCACAATACCGGTTTCAACAATGTGTCAATGTTTACGCTGTGTGACTCCATTTTGTTCTGGATGTTTAGGACACGAAAATCTTTGAGAAATTCCATGAAGTGCTAATTTTTTTTTTTTTTGAAAGGCAATGCTTTTGTATTCACCATCTTCATCACATTGAAGGGCTTAAATTTTTAAATTGAATATATTTTCAACTTTGGCCTTAAACTGCATAAATATTTCAAAGACTTGAGATGTATTTTTCATGGGAAAAATCCAGGAATATCTTAAGTAATCATCAACAAACAACACATAATAACGAAAACCTTCATTGGAAATAATTGGAGAACACTAAACATCAGAATGTAGAAGCTGCAAATGACAATTGGAAATAGACTCGGACACTTTGAAAGGCAACTTGGTACTATTTCCTAAGGGACAGGACTGACAAAAGGTTACATTGGAGGTACCATGAACTGGAACCAATTTATTTCCAATTAAAAACTTTATTGTAGACTTGGTAGGATGCCCCATACGTGCATGCCATTTTTTAACAGACACTTGAACACCTATGAAGGCTGTAAATGGATTTGGAAGTTGTCCACCACCACCTGAAAACGGCTATAAGCCGTTCTCAGATCTCTCTCGGAAAAGCGTCCTCCGCGTCTTGAGGTCCTTGACAAGAAAGAAGTGTGGAAAGATTAATAAATAGCAGTCATCGTCTAATGTGAATTTATGGGCAGAAATGATACTAGTTGAGGCTTTAGGGCAGTGTAGAATGTCTTGTAACTTAAATGAGCAAGCATCAGTATGAAGTTTATTAGAACCATAATGTGAAATCAAAATACCAGAATCATTACCTACATCACCAACACCATCATTACCATTATATTCCTTCGGGTTTTACCAGGTTTTGCAGATCCTAAGTGATATGCACATTAGCTCATGTGTCTAGTAACCAATTGCCATTTTGTTGTTTATTGAGAGTGATAGGAGCCGACGCCGTTGTAAAGAGTCTTTTGGTAGGAATGCGGCTTTCAAAGGTAGCGTTCATTCGCTGAAAGCAATCCAAAGCTGGATGACCAGGTTTGCCACATATATGGCAGATAATACGCTCACCAGTGGACGCACATCGTTCCCCATTTCGAGCGGCATAACGCGGATTGTTGTTGTTATTACGAAAGTTGTAACCTCGGTGAGTGGATGTACCACCACGATTTGAAGGAGATGCATTGCGCCCAACACCACTAACTCGACCTGCACCTCGACCTCTTACAACAACAAAGGCATTGACTACAGGTTGTTCCATCACATGAGTAGCATGCTCCAACATTCTTCTTTCCTTGGTCAACAATAGCGCCTCAAGAGTCAGATACGTGATAGGTGTATCACGAGCTTGAGCAACACTAACTATCATCTTGAAGGTTGGTCCAAGATTGTTCAACACAATCTGTACTAATTCATCGTCACTCACAGGTTGCCCAGCGACGGCAAGGTCGTCAGCAGTTGCATTCATGCGATCCAAGTAACCCGCTATAGAGAAATTACCCTTCTTTGTCTGTAGCAATTCATTCCTAAAAAACAAAATCCTATTCTGGCAAGAAGAGGCATATCGCTGTTCTAGAGCCTCCTAGGTTGCTCTAGCACTTCGCTTACCGGCCACAACAAACAAGAAGGACGCAGTAAGTAAGCCATTGATCCAACTGAGGATCATTTGATCCT